CCGCCCCCTATGCCCAACGAGGAATCGCGACCACGAACGCGCTCATCGACAGCGCCGGGCGTGTATCTGCCCCCGATGCTCACAGTAGCTCACCGAGGAGCCGCCGCAAGGGCCCCCTCCTCGATCCACAACGCCGATGTATTCTTCGTTAACCCACCAACGCGCCCGGCGCTCCCTGTCGGGCCCCCGCCGCCTCGCATCCCATACCCTGATGGCCACGTCGCGCCTGGTTTACGGCGCGTCCGCACGGCACCCCCACCGATACCCCCACATCCGTATTCCTATGGAAGCTCTGTATCTACTCCGCCAATACCCCCCAAAATACCAGTGGCTACTCACCCACCACGACCACCACGCCCCGTTAGCGAGCCCCAGATGGCCCCTGCGCAGCTCCCCGCTTCTGAAGAAGAACCAGAGCCGCCAGCGAGAGCAGACGACGCCGAGCTCGCCGAGTTGGCTGCGGTCCTTGCGCTATCGCAAGCAGAGACTATGCGCCAGGAGAAGCTCGAGCAGAAGATGCTGAGCCAGGAGGAGGCTGATTTCGCGCGCGCAATGGAAGCATCCATGTCAAACTCGATCTGGTCAACCTCGTATACGTCTGGGGGCGGGTCCCACAGCGTAGTCGCAGGATCATCGAGCAACACATTGACACCAATGACCAGCGAGTTCCCGGAGGCCGCGTACATGGACGACGCGGCGTTTGCCAAGCTGCTGGCTGCCCAGGAGGAGGACGAGCCAACTCCGACACAGACTTTCTTTGCGCCGAACGGCGTCACGAACAGCGTACCGCCTCCCAAGAACGCAGAGGCCCCGGACAAGTCGGCGGCGACTGGTTCGGTTGGTTCTCCGTCCTCGGATAGCAGCGATCTACCCGTCTACTCGCCGCGCCGCCCTCCCGCTGCCTTACAGACAGCACTGTCCGCCGACGAGGAGTTTGCACGGCAAATAGCACTAGAGGAAGAGGTTTTGGCGAGAGAGGCAAAGGAGACGCCGCCTCCGCAGGATCCCCCCGATCTTCCCTCCTACCCGAATGGTACCAACCCACCACCAATTGAGACTGAGAGCCTGGAGCCCCCAGACCTCGTCAGGTCGAGATCCACGGGAACGGAGCTGACATGGGTCGACCCCAATGACAGTCCGATACTGGTGATAGATCGTCCCGCCAGTGCACCCGTGCCCTCGGGACGATACTCGCCTGAAAATCCTCGATCCATATCGCTTCGCAGCGAAGATGGCGAGGGGCGGCCGGCCCCTGGTCCCAATCAATTTCTCGACAATGATATTTTACGCGGTGTTTGTGAGTATTTTTATTGCGTTCTGTATCCCTCGATCCAATATTTTCCTCAGCGATTGGATTCGTGGTTCCGTCAATAACCCCGGAGTTACTGCCTATGCAACAAACGATGCCTAACATAATTTCGCTACCATACGGGCGATGTCCGCCCCTACATCTGCAAGCGCCTAGTTGGCGCCATCTGCTCAAGCTGATGGCTCGATTAAGCGGAACGAGAATCGAGCCGACGGTGGAGGCCCTGGCGGTAACAAGATCGTCGCAAATGAATCTACGGACGGTCGTGCAGTTCGTTCGGGTAAGCACTTATCAAATTTATCCTTTGCGGACGAGCTGACTTGTTTAGATGCACCAATCTTCGTCGGATTGGCGAGCGCTGCTGTGGTTTACCATCGACCACCCCGTCCCGGCTTCCTTGCCGGGGGCACGGAAGTACACCAACAGCGATGTAGATGTGCTTCCGTGGTCGTACACCCTCTCCAGTATCCCTGCGCTGCTTCGTGATAGCTCGGACACATTATTGTCAAAATGCTATACGATACCGTCCACCGCTGCCGTCCCTTTCCCCGCCCTCCCCATTACGTTCCCCAATATGGCGATGTATCTCCAGGCTGCCCTGGAGGAGTCGAGGAAATACGTGAACGACAGCAGCAGCGGAATGCGCAAGCTTGCGAAGATGGTGGAGACCTGTTATCCCGTTGAGTCGAACGGGGAGGAGGGGGAGCGGAGTAGAGTCGGTGGGCTATTCAAGAAGGTAATTGGGCGTGCTGGAGTGCGGAAAGACAAGTCGAAGAAGAAGGGCGGCGGGCTGAATGAGGATACCTATGAGCTGGTTACACCGTTTGTATTGGACGACTGGGGACCTTGAGTATGTATCGCTAATGTAACTAATTAAACTAGAAGTGTGCACATACTGTACTTAATTTCTGTGGAAGAACACGAGTCGATCAAATGCGTTGCCTTTTCGGGCATGAGCTTCTTGGCTCAAACCTTGAATCGGCTGAAGCCCTCCTTTCGCTCTTCTGCACCACTAGCCATGGCGCCGCTAGACGCGCTGCCTGCGCCTATCGTAGTCCCGCCGCTGACCACCGAGGAAGAAGGTCAAACTGGCGCTGTCTCTTCGTGGCGTCAACTGAGAATTAATCTGCAGACCAGATCATCCTTGCCCGCATAACTAACGACGAGCGGCCGTTACGCCGGGTGATAAAAAAGTTCCACAACTATACCGCGCTTTCGCATACACCTGTGGTCACTTCGGTCCTAGCGGACGGCGCTACGCCGAGCTCTGTCGACGATGCGCGGGAGGCGTTCTTGGTGGAGCTCGGGTCGTTCCAGCTGCTACTGCGGAAGAGCGTGATGATATGCGAAGCGGAGGCGCGCCAAGTGGAGGAGTACCAGCGGGAGAAGGAGAGAATAAGTGCGTGTTCAACCATTCTCTGTCCATGAGGCTTACGGCGGATAGACGACGAGCACGGGACGCTGCGCGGGCAGATTGAGCAACTCAAGACCGGATTGGAGCACGAGCAGATGCTGCGCAAAAGGAAGATGGAATACGACTTTGTTGCGGAGAAGGTCAATACGCTGCCCACGCGGGAAGAGCTCGAGCAGTATGCGTTTGGTTTGATTCTTTTTTATTCAGCTGTCTAATTATCTTTTACAGGACTATTGAAGCTCTCGAGAACGACATGGCTGCGATTCGCGCCGAGCATGAGACACAAAACCGCACGATTCAGGCGCAGAAGACGGCGCTTGATGGCATCGTTTCGGACTTGGGGTCGCTGAGGTTTATGGGCAAGGACAGAGAGGCGGCGACTTCGACGTCCCTTTCTCCCCGGGACACTCCTGGGCCGGAAAGCACGGGCGACGCCACGGCGACTGCTACGATTCCAGAGAAGATGGAGGTCGAGGAAGGAGAGGAAGAAACGGTGCTCGACTCCGTGGTGCCGGCCGAAGAAGCGGTGGAAGACGATATCGAGATGGGGGAGGTCGAAGAAGAACCCAAGAACAATTCGAAGGGGAAAAAGAAGAGGGAAGAGGAACTGGAAGAAGGAGAAGCCAGTGACAATGCCAGCGATGCTAGCAGTGAATTGTCAGAACCGCCAGACGACTGAAATACATTATGTTTCTTCTGGTGGTATAGCAACAGCGACACTCATCAAGTCGCGAGCGCATAATACCTCCTTACCGTACTCTCCAGCCGCCAATCCCGCAATCGTGTCCATAAGTACCTTCGCCTCAGGGTCAACATCGTCGTTTCCCGCGTATCTAGCAGAAAAGTGGTTCAGAATAAGTTGCTTTGCCCTAATGCGCTTTGCGAAACGGCCGGCCATCTGTGGTGTCGAGTGGCCTCTGGATTTTGTACGCGCCTCCACGCTCTCATAGGTGTCGTCAAGTTTCGTGCCCTCGTCGATCCCAGGGAGATGCGCGTTGGTCGCCTCGTGAATGAGCAGGTCTACATCGAGAGCCAGTTGTTCTACTCCTGAAGGGTTGTGTGTATCACCCAAAATGGCTATCTTTCGTCCTCGCCGCCGTTGAGGGCCGTGGAGAATAGTCCCGTCACTGAGCTCGACGCTCCCGCCCTGCTGCAGCTGTGACATGACTTTCATGGGAGTATTCGTACGTTTGAGATGAGGGATGTATTTTGCAGGATCCATCTTTCCGGGGAGAGGCGCTTCTGTGACCACGTAGCCGAGGCAGGGGACCGAATGAAGGATGGGTCCAGCGGAGACAGAGACCGCGTTGTCTTGGAAGATGTTCTCCCAGACCCCGCCCACCTGCATGATATTCTTGCCAAAGGGGGCTTCCGCGGGGTTGCGAGGAAGCTGAGTGTAGTCGCCTGTCGGCGGGTCGCGCGGCAGGCGGAGCTCGTGTACCACGTATGCGTGGCTGAAAAAGGTGTGCGTGTACTTGAGGCAAGAGCGGACGTATGCGCGCGTCCCCAGGGGTCCGTAAATTTCGATAACCTGGAACTTTGTAAATTATTTGGTTGTGGCTATTGCTTTCCGTTCGTACTGGATTGTATGGGTCGACGGCCTTTCTTGGTTCGTCAGCACCGTCTGCAGCTCCACCAGCGCCATTGAGAATGCCTGCGAGTAGGGGAACAACTCCGAAGATGTGATCGCCTGGAGGAATAAGGAAATGCCAAATAACTTTGCTACAGACATACCGTGCGTGTGCGTGATGAATATTTTCTCTATCTTTCCCATTCTCAATGTACTCTGCTGTAGCCGCGACTGCGTTGCCTCTGGGAGACGTTCAAGTTGGTTTTAAACCAACGAACGAAAATTGGCGTACCTCCACAGTCAAACAGCCAGATATCCGCCCCAAGACGTAGGGCGAGGGAGGAATGGATACGCGTCGACGAGGGCTGGGCAGAAGCTGTTCCAAGAAAGGTGACATGTACGTCGAATGGCCCTCGGGGAGGTTTAAGTTGAGTAGTCATGTTAATGGTCTTTTGGAAAGAGACTCTTGGCACAGAATTTCGGAAACCAATGGATGCGGCAGCTTTTAAGCTGGTTCTAGCTGCCATTAGCTTGCCCCTACAATTAATTTGGAGTCGACATGACTCGAACCCACAAAAGAATATGAAATGAAATAACTGGCTTTGAAAGGAGGTGAGAGCGGCGCGGATCGAAGGCGGCTTGCCTCCTAGACTGAGGAGTGTAGTGCTATAGAGCTCTATATAGATTACTCGGTAGAGATCGATATCGTCTAGGTAGTATAGTGGTTAGTATGCTCGCTTGTGGCTGTGCTACGTACAGACTACGTAACTGCTTTCGCGATTGACGTCAGTTCGATTCTGGCCCTGGACACTTTTTATTTCGCTTATTTCGGGCCGATCATCGGCATCTCGGCACCCGGCGGCATCGTACCGGCATTCACCGCCGACTGCCGCTCGGCATCATCGGCAGCTTTGGTCCGCTGATCCACTGCGCCTCAGCTTCTGTTCCGGCTCGCTCGGCACCTGGCACATTTCAGCAAGATTCTAGGGTCATCCGTTTCTTCATTTCCTTGCCTACTAGACAAAATACCTCTATGGAAACGGGCAGACGCGTCTGAGCAAAATTCCCGACGGGGACGACAAAGAAACCACGTGACCGTGTGATGCCCTTGTGTTGACTTCGTCTTGCTCTTCCATTCCGATCGCGACGCCGAGAAGAGAGCCTGATACTCTTGCTATCGCCTCCTACTAACCCCCGCCCCTGTGGCAGTCATGGCTCTCAGCACCTCTCCCCGCAAAATAATCCCTCTCTCCACCGGCGAAGAGACGCGATCGCGCGCAGAGTCCTCAGCCCCCGGCCTCACAAAGCGCGTTTTCTTCTGCGGGGTAGTCGTAGAAGGCTCCGAGAATGGGAGAAGCCTTCCTGAAGGTCCGAATTCGCGAGTATTCAGTTCTCCAAACCATTAACTTTCGGTGTCAGACATCCAGGACCTCGTCTTATCGCTCGGAGACAAAGTGGCCACCAGCTCCGACAGCAGCATTCTCTCGTCCCCTCCAGATGCTGGCACATCGAATCCCGTAAGTCTTCTGCTTTCCGGCCCCTATCAGAATACAGCATCCAGAGCTTCAGTGGTGCTATATCCAGCTCCTCCACACTCCCCGAGTTCTACTCGCCTGTCGCGTTCAATGGCGCCCCTGTCGCTGAAGCACTAATCCACCTTCTTAGGATCGCGTCGGACCGAGGAAACGCGCGCTCACGGATTCCTCGGCGCTCGCCTCGAGCATCCACGAATTGGTGGAAACGGAACGGTCATATGTGAAGCGTTTGCGGTCATTGAAGAACGACTACGCCGACCCTTTACGCAACTTTGCTAGAAGCAAAAACACATCCATTATCCCTGCCTACGAGGCCAAAACGCTCTTTGGGAACGTGGATAATCTCCTTCCGGTCAACGAGGCTTTCCTGACGGATTTGGAGAAGATGATGGCTCCGAATGGTGCGCAGATGGTCGGCGGTGTAGGAGATGTTGCCCTTCGCCACTTCAAGGACCTGCGAGGCTTTGAACAGTATAGACAGTTCTACGTCAAACGCGAGGAAGCCCAGTTGATCTTGGAGCGGGAAATGTCGAGAAAGTCGTCGCCGTTTGTGGTCTTCATTGATGTAGGGTGTGTCCTTTGCTTAAACCTCACATATTTACATCTTTCCAGCGGATCAAATACCAGGCTTCCGAGTCGAACAATCGGGTCGGACTCCGCGAACTTCTCATAAACGTGGTGCAGCGAGTACCCCAGTACACCCTTATGTTTCGAACGATGATCAAACACATGGCTCCCAATGATCCACAACGGGCTAAACTCGTCGAAGCGGACGAACTTGCTAGCAAGATCGCACATGCAGAACCAGATGAAGAAACCAAACGCGCGGCCATATTTTACTGCCTCAGCGCAACCATCGACGGTTTCCCGCCCGACTTGTTTTCAAACTCCCGACGGTTCATCGACTGTATCGACGTCGAGGACATTCAATCGGACGCACCTACCTCATCCGCCGCATCAGTTAGTAGCTCCGCGGGTTCACTGCACTGCACCTTGTTTCTCTTCGATGACAAACTTCTCATCGTTAAACGGCCTGGAAACGGTGAGAAGGGTGGTCGGGCTCTTGCAGGACTCGATGAGCTCGACAAATTAACAAAGGGTGGAGGGCGACCGAGCGGCAAGAAGAAGAGCGGGATGACGTGCAAAGGAGTTGTTGATGTGACTGAGGTCGTTGCTACCGATGTTGGTGGTGCAGGTACGATCGCTTGTTTTTACGCGCAATTTCGAAACTGATGTTGGCGTTTGAAGATATCAACTTGTATCTGGAGAACCCTCCCCTCGACCAGAACGAGCGGTGGGCCGGGCGCGCTTTCAGATCGCTGGCTGTGGTTCACCCCCCTGCCCCCATAAACCTCAATCCCGTGCAAGCCGAGCTGGACAAGCAGCGATTCCTGGAGAATCTATGGCAAGTCCAGGCTGCATACCGTACACGATCCGGTCAGTCGGTCGTGCTGCGAGCGGACGAGATGGAAGTAGAGTCGAAGAATGGTCGCACCACCGTCGCTCGGACTTATTACAATGTTTACCAGCGAACGGCTTTTCTCCAAGAGCCGAAAAAGGTAAAGAAAATCGGTATCACTTGAAGGAGTGGCGTGTTGATGTCTTTTTTTTTCAAGACCAAAATCGTCGTACATATTGATGCGTTGCGCTCCGCGGATAAGATCCCGTTTGGTGTTGGTGCACCACCTTTTGGTGTCATTCGATTGCAACCCATGGCTGGCGGACTCTGTCGCTATACAGTCACTTCCAGCGATCCGTCAGACCCAGGCGAGGAGGACATCGTGCAGACCACCAGGGTTCCATCCCGAATCGTACTCACGAGTAAGTCGTGTCCACTTCTCTTGATGTTTTGTCTTACTTGTTTTTAGTCCACCAATTCGGGTTGTTCGAGTTCCGAACGGGACGGAATTCGGCGCCGTCGACTCCAACTGCTCGTTCCAAGGCTGCGATCTTCGGTCTGGATGCCATCTCGAGGAATCTCTTCAACACACGCCCGGGTTCCTCCATGGGTGACTTCTTCGGCGGCTCTGTCAATAGCCACAAGCGCAATAAATCTACGGCGAGTCGCTCGTCGACGTATACCCAAACCACTACGACTGGGGATGGAAGCTTGACCAAGTTCTCTCAACGGTCGAATTCCACCGCGACATCCATCGAGGACGACTCGTTCCGGACGAGGTCTTCTTCCTCGCGGTCACGGTCACGGAGCGTCCTCAGAAAGAGCAGATCGCCTGGTGGGACCCCGGAGCCAGAGAGCCGGCCACCAAGTCGGAGCTTGTCGAGGAACGGCTCTAGAAGTGGCTCTCGTTCAAGTTCGAGGGAGCCCGAGTTGGAGTACAGCGACATTGACGACGACGACGGCACGATTCTGGACCACGTCCGGGATCTGGACGCTACGGAGCGGGATCTTGCCTTGCAATTAGCGTTGGCAAGAAAGAACAGCAAAAACCAACACGGCAAGCCGTTTAGTCATGTTCCTTTGCAGAACCCGTCCGAGTCAACGATCTACGAAGGTACGAGGTTCAATTGCCTAATTAGGAAATATCAAAATCTTATTCGATGTACAGACGAACCCCCTCGACGACCGCTATCGCGTGCGTCCAGGGACACGAATACTCGTAGCTCTACGACCCGACCGGACTCAAACTCTGACGCTTCGATGGGATCCCCTTCACGGCAAACCCGCTCTCTGTCGCAGCTTTCTTCTGAGAGACGTCCGTTAGGACCCAGAAGCCCTTCCCCGCTTCCTCCCGCGCGCATGGAAGTTTCCACGACCGAACTCCCTTCCATGGACGACGACCTTGCTCTCGAAAACACCGCCCGGCTCCAACGCTCAGCCCCTGTTCGAGCTACCGGCATCCCGCGGAGTAAACGTCAACCCTTCTTCCCGGCTGGTAATATAGACGCGACCCCCAAACCGTCGGTTACCAGTGCCCCCACTCCCAGCGGCGTCGAACCATTATCTATCAAGAAGAAAACTTCGGTGCGCGGCACAGAGGCCTCGGTAACAACTGAAGCGTCGCGAAAACCTCCATCTCGGAGCTCCCCATTGTCGCGTGGGCGCACTGTTGGTTCTCCGCGCAGGGTCTCGCCTCAAGTGCGTAGCACCAGGGCCACTTCCATGCGCAGTCCGTCCAAGAACGAACTGCCGGAGCGATTAGTCCAGTTATCCAAGAAGACCAAGGAGGATGTAGGTGTTCAGTCGCTTGCTCAAGAAACATCATTGACAAATCCTTAGGTCGAATCGTCTCACCGAGCTGTTAAGCGTATGCGACTCGAGATTGACGGGCTGCGTTCGGAGTGTGGGCCGGACGAAATAGTACGCCCAGCTTCACCCAGCAAAGCCCTCCGCACTCCCCAGCGTGGGCCTCCAATGGTAAAAAGCATACCAGCCTCCAATCGGATTATGACGCTCACCATTCTTTTCAGACCCAAGCAGCGCTCGACCGGATGGAAGAGATGCGGCAACTCATCGGTCAGCGACAAGGCGAGAGTACTCCTCGTAGTCGCCCCCTTAGCATGGCAGTCGACACTCCCGTGCGGTCCTCCGGTTCAACCCGGACAGACGATATCCACCGCTCGTTGACTACATTGGTAACTGAGGCGGATTCGAGTCTAATACGTGCCTCGTCAAACTATGAAGCTTTGGAAAGCGGCATTCAACAGCTAACTGACGATCTGAAAGATGTAATGCATCTACTTTTCTTGACTTTTTCATTCTGGGTCAGCTCATAGATATGATTACGGCAGAGATCAGCAGAGCTCGAAAAGACGCGACTTGAGCTCCAGAACGCTCGGCGACAGTGTGAGCTGGTAAAAAGCTTGCTCTCCGATGCTACCGCAGAGAAGGAAATCATGTACGAGGTGCGCAGTCTCGAATATTCCTTTCCTTCCACTGTCAATCTTCGTGCAGGCGTTCAACGAGGAACTGGACAGCATGTACAATGATGCCAATCTTCCGGACGATGAGGCGTGGGCTTCCATGTCCACTGACCTGCGGAAAACGAAAGAAGCTAGGAACGCATTAACGAAAGAAAATTCGTGAGTACTTCAGAGTCTTCTTTTCATTAATCTCTCTGACTTGAATGCTGCAGACAACTGAAACGCCGCCTCGCAGAAACGGAGATGCAACAAGAAGAGTGGGGTGCCCTTTTGCGGGCGCATGGACTAATTCCTTAAGCTTAACTTGTATTTCTACATCTCTATCGATCTAAGTACACATTATATATTATACAATTCCAGGTCATGATGCCGCCGTTACGGGTATGGTGTGAG